TTACTGTGTAAGGAACCTCCCGTATGAAGATAGACTTAAAGCCTTAAATCTGCACTCTCTGGAGAGGCGTAGAATGAGGGGAGATATCATTGAAGTGTATAAGTGGATGACGGGCATAAACAAGGGAGACATTAATAAGGTACTGAGGGTGTCGAACCAGGTAAGAACCAGGAATAATGGATTTAAGTTGGATAAATTTAGATTTAGAAAGGACATAGGTAAGTACTGGTTTTCTAACAGAGTTGTAGATGCGTGGAACAGTCTTCCCAGTGGGGTGATAGAGGCTAGGACCTTGGGTAGCTTTAAGAAGAGACTGGACAAATATATGAGTGGGAGGGGCTGGGTTTGATTGGTGTTGGGGGGTGCGGGAGTTGTTTCTTGAGTAGCTTTAGGTAGATGTCGTTTTGATAAGGACCTGCCTCGTATGGGCCAGTAGGCCTTCTGCAGTGTTCCTACATTCTTATGTTCTTATGTTCTTATATACTGGGAGGGTACAGGGTAAGAACCTCATACAGGGAGGGTACAGGGTAACAACGACACACAGGGAGGGTACAGGGTAACAACCAAATAGGGTACAAAGTAACAACCACATACAGGGAGGGTACAGGGTAACAACCACAAACAGGGAAGGTACAGGGTAACAACCACATACAGGGAGGGTACAGGGTAACAACCACACGCAGGGAGTGTACAAGGTAACAACCACACACAGGGAGGGTACAGCATAACAACCACACACAGGGAGGGTACAGGGTAACAACCACGCACAGGGAGGGTACACCTGGATTACCTGGAGATTACCTGGAGAGAGTTTCGGGGGTCAATGCCCCCGCGGCCCGGTCTGTGACCAGGCCTCCTGGTGGATCAGCGCCTGATCAACCAGGCTGTTGCTGCTGGCTGCACGCAAACCAACGTACGAGCCACAGCCCGGCTGATCAGGAACTGACTTTAGGTGCTTGTCCAGTGCCAGCTTGAAGACTGCCAGGGGTCTGTTGGTAATCCCCCTTATGTGTGCTGGGAGGCAGTTGAACAGTCTCGGGCCCCTGACACTTATTGTATGGTCTCTTAACGTGCTAGTGACACCCCTGCTTTTCATTGGGGGGATGGTGCATCGTCTGCCAAGTCTTTGCTTTCGTAGTGAGTGATTTTCGTGTGCAAGTTCGGTACTAGTCCCTCTAGGATTTTCCAGGTGTATATAATCATGTATCTCTCCCTCCTGCGTTCCAGGGAATACAGTTTAGAAACCTCAAGCGCTCCCAGTAATTGAGGTGTTTTATCTCCGTTATGCGCGCCGTGAAACTTCTCTGTACATTTTCTAGGTCGGCAATTTCACCTGCCTTGAAAGGTGCTGTTAGAGTGCAGCAATATTCCAGCCTAGATAGAACAAGTGACCTGAAGAGTGTCATCATGGGCTTGGCCTCCCTAGTTTTGAAGGTTCTCATTATCCATCCTGTCATTTTTCTAGCAGATGCGATTGATACAATGTTATGGTCCTTGAAGGTGAGATCCTCCGACATAATCACTCCCAGGTCTTTGACGTTGGTGTTTCGCTCTATTTTGTGGCCAGAATTTGTTTTGTACTCTGATGAAGATTTAATTTCCTCATGTTTACCATATCTGAGTAATTGAAATTTCTCATCGTTGAACTTCATATTGGTAACAACCACATACAGGGAGGGTACAAGGTAACAACCACATACAGGGAGGGTACAAGGTAACAACCACATACAGTGAGGGTACAAGGTAACAACCACACACAGGGAGGGTACAAGGTAACAACCACATACAGGGAGGATACATGGTAACAACCACATACAGGGAGGGTACAAGGTAACAACCACACACAGGGAGGGTACAAGGTAACACCCACATACAGGGAGGGTACAAGGTAACAACCACACACACAGGGAGGGTACAAGGTAACAACCACATACAGGGATGGTACAAGGTAACAACCACACACAGGGAGGGTACAAGGTAACAACCACACACAGGGAGGGTACAAGGTAACAACCACACACAGGGAGGGTACAAGGTAACAACCACACACAGGAGGGTACAAGGTAACAACCACACACAGGGAGGGTACAAGGTAACAACCACACACAGGGAGGGTACAAGGTAAACAACCACCACACAGGGAGGGTACAAGGTAACAACCACACACAGGGAGGGTACAAGGTAACAACCACACACAGGGAGGGTACAAGGTAACAACCACACACAGGGAGGGTACAAGGTAACAACCACACACAGGGAGGGTACAAGGTAACAACCACACACAGGGAGGGTACAAGGTAACAACCACACACAGGGAGGGTACAAGGTAACAACCACACACAGGGAGGGTACAAGGTAACAACCACATACAGGGAGGGTACAAGGTAACATCCACATACAGGGAGGGTACAAGGTAACAACCACACACAGGGAGGGTACAAGGTAACAACCACATACAGGGAAGGTACAAGGTAACCACATACAGGGAGGGTACAAGGTAACAACCACACACAGGGAGGGTACAAGGTAACAACCACACACAGGGAGGGTACAAGGTAACAACCACATACAGGGAGGGTACAAGGTAACAACCACACACAGGGAGGGAAACAAGGTAACAACCACATACAGGGAGGGTACAAGGTAATAACCACATACAGGGAGGGTACAAGGTAACAACCACACACAGGGAGGGTACAAGGTAACAACCACACACAGGGAGGGTACAAGGTAACAACCACATACAGGGAGGGTACAAGGTAACAACCACACACAGGGAGGGTACAAGGTAACAACCACACACAGGGAGGGTACAAGGTAACAACCACACACAGGGAGGGTACAAGGTAACAACCACATACAGGGAGGGTACAAGGTAACAACCACATACAGGGAGGGTACAAGGTAACAACCACACACAGGGAGGGTACAAGGTAACAACCACATACAGGGAGGGTACAAGGTAACAACCACACACAGGGAGGGTACAAGGTAACAACCACACACAGGGAGGATACAAGGTAACAACCACACACAGGGAGGGTACAAGGTAACAACCACACACAGGGAGGGTACAAGGTAACAACCACACACAGGGAGGGTACAAGGTAACAACCACATACAGAGAGGGTACAAGGTAACAACCACACACAGGGAGGGTACAAGGTAACAACGACACACAGGGAGGGTACAAGGTAACAACCACACACAGGGAGGGTACAAGGTAACAACCACACACAGGGAGGGTACAAGGTAACAACCACACACAGGGAGGGTACAAGGTAACAACCACACACAGGGAGGGTACAAGGTAACAACCACACAAGCGCACAAAATGCGCGCTAAAGGAATAACAGTAAAAGTCGGTCGATGGATCTATAATTTCCTCACTAACAGAACAGAGAGTAGTCGTCAACAGAGTAAAGTCCGAGGCAGCTACGGTGAAAAGCTCTGTTCCACAAGGCACAGTACTAGCTCCCATCTTGTTCCTCATCCTCATATCCGACATAGACAAGGATGTCAGCCACAGCACCGTGTCTTCCTTTGCAGATGACACCCGAATCTGCATGATAGTGTCTTCCATTGCAGACACTGCAAGGCTCCAGGCGGACATCAACCAAATCTTTCAGTGGGCTGCAGAAAACAATATGAAGTTCAACGATGAGAAATTTCAATTACTCAGATATGGTAAACATGAGGAAATTAAATCTTCATCAGAGTACAAAAAAATTCTGGCCACAAAATAGAGCGAAACACCAACGTCAAAGACCTGGGAGTGATTATGTCGGAGGATCTCACCTTCAAGGACCATAACATTGTATCAATCGCATCTGCTAGAAAAATGACAGGATGGATAATGAGAACCTTCAAAACTAGGGAGGCCAAGCCCATGATGACACTTTCAGGTCACTTGTTCTATCTAGGCTGGAATATTGCTGCACTCTAACAGCACCTTTCAAGGCAGGTGAAATTGCCGACCTAGAAAATGTACAGAGAACTTTCACGGCGCGCATAACGGAGATAAAAACACCTCAATTACTGGGAGCGCTTGAGGTTTCTAAACTGTATTCCCTGGAACGCAGGAGGGAGAGATACATGATTATATACACCTGGAAAATCCTAGAGGGACTAGTACCGAACTTGCACACGAAAATCACTCACTACGAAAGCAAAAGACTTGGCAGACGATGCACCATCCCCCCAATGAAAAGCAGGGGTGTCACTAGCACGTTAAGAGACCATACAATAAGTGTCAGGGGCCCGAGACTGTTCAACTGCCTCCCAGCACACATAAGGGGGATTACCAACAGACCCCTGGCAGTCTTCAAGCTGGCACTGGACAAGCAAGGTAACAACCACACACAGGGAGGGTACAAGGTAACAACCACACACAGGGAGGGTACAAGGTAACAACCACACACAGGGAGGGTACAAGGTAACAACGACACACAGGGAGGGTACAAGGTAACAACCACACACAGGGAGGGTACAAGTTTAAAAACCACACACAGGGAGGGTACAAGGTAACAACCACACACAGGGAGGGTACAAGGTAACAACCACACACAGGGAGGGTACAAGGTAACAACCACACACAGGGAGGGTACAAGGTAACAACCACACACAGGGAGGGTACAAGGTAACAACCACACACAGGGGGGTACAAGGTAACATCCACACACAGGGAGGGTACAAGGTAACATCCACACACAGGGAGGGTACAAGGTAACAACCACACACAGGGAGGGTACAAGGTAACAACCACACACAGGGAGGGTACAAGGTAACAACCCCACACAGGGAGGGTACAAGGTAACAACCACACACAGGGAGGGTACAAGGTAACAACCACACACAGGGAGGGTACAAGGTAACAACCACACGCAGGGAGGGTACAAGGTAACAACCACACACAGGGAGGGTATAGGCTACACAATAAAGTTATTTAAGTTCTCCCAGGCAGTAATAACGTTTTCTCTCAGTTAGTTTGTTTACAAAGTTGCTCATGAGCTGAGGTATCGATTCTCCTCACTAATATATTAACCATTATGACTCGAAATAAAAGTAAAGTAGATAAAAATAAAGGTGAAGAAGAGAAAAAGAGCAGCAATAAAGAGAAAAAGTCTGAAGGGTGTGACAAGACGTGAGTAGCCAGACTTACTCTTACTTTCACTAGGGACCCCAATGGAAATTTTTATTTCTTTACCCAGATCTACCTGGAGTTCATTACCTTTGTAATTTGCTCAGCTATCATAACTTTGTGGTGCAGTCCCTGGACCTATTATGTACCTCTGATATCTTTTGACTACCACCCTCAGGATGGGTCTGGGGTGCATAATAAATATATTAAACTATAACTTAATTGGGCTATATTTAAAAGTACATAAATATAGGAGCCATACAGCACCTGTCAGGCATCCAGGTTCATTCCAAAGAAGTGGAGGGGAGGGGCTGATCCCAGTAACTTGGATCAAGAGCCTTTTATGTCTCGAGGAGTTTCAGGCCAACTCTTGATCTAAGGAATTGGACCTTTCCCTCCTTGGCATGAAACTTATTGCCCCCCCATTGGCCCAGGTGCAGTATGATTCTTATGGATTTAATAGTACAAGATATTAAGTCATTCATTATGTTCAATGTCAAAAAAAAACTGTGATATTTTCATGTCACAGTGAGAATTTTTTTTTATAATCATGGGGGAGTGCTAAACCCGTAGGATTATACAGTGCATATGGGTGGGGGATGGATGGTATTCAGACTCAATTCAGGGAACCCGAGCACAGATCAAATTCCCTAGATCAAGAGCCCCTCACCAGCTTCAAGGAACCTCCATTGAGGGGGTCACAGTGAGTAAAGCAGCAGCTGGTGTGTTGCAGAGGCAACAATACTCTAGCAAACTTGACTAACTTAACCTAACACCACACATTCTCTAAAACAACCAGTACAGTAATAATAATAATAATAATATCTTTATTTTCTACAAGTACATGTACAAGGTATACAGGCCTAGTTGACATCAGTAACATACTACTATATAGAAAACCCCTTGTTATGCTGAGCATTTCGGGCAAATTAGGTCAGTTTTATCCCAGGATGCGACCCACACCAGTCAACTAAGTCCCAAGTATGTACCCATTTTAAACTGATGGGTGAACAGGGACAGTAGGTGTCCTATGGAAACATGTCTCTAATATTTTCCAGCCGTACTGGAGATTCGAACCCTGGACTTCAGTGTGTGAGCTGAGTGTGCTAGCAGTCAAGCAATGGGACACCCTTGAATTATGTTAATAATCCGTTCTAGAAGACACATCGGACTCCAAAACCATCATAACTCAAACCCTAAAATTCCCAGGTTTTATGGTGAAAATTAAAATGATATACAATACCAACAAGTTGGTAAGTAAGACACGTGCAGCAGTTAGGTATCTTTACTTGAGTACAGAAAAGTTGGCATAAGCAGTAAAGATGTGAAGACGATGTAATCAAGGGTGATGGAGTGATTACATCGTCTTCACATTTCTAATGCTTCTGCTAACTTTTCTGTACTCGACTGAAGAAGCCTACTGTGTATGCCTGGAGAGGGTTTCGTTTTGGACTAAAGATGCCTAACTGTTGCACATGTGCCATGGTTTTGTGGTACATAATTAGTGCCAAGACCCAGAAATGCAATATAGTATATTGTACGTTGGAGTTGGTAGTGTGGTGGTGGTGGAGAGGTTACTAGTTAGTAAGTTTATTTAGGTACAGGTATACATAAGTACAATTATAATACACTGTGTAATTTACCTATAATAATAGTAATAATAATAATAATAATATTTCAACAAGTACACGCATAACATACACAGACCTAGCTAATATCAGTGACATACTGCTACTTAGAAAGCCCCATGTTATGCAGAGCATTTCAGGCAAATTATGTCACTTTTGTCTCCCAGGATGCGACCCAGAGCAGTCGACTAACACCCAGGTACCTATTTTAGTGCTAGGTGAACAGGGACAGCAGGTGTCTTAAGGAAACACGTCCTAATTCTTCCACCTGTACCGGGATCAAACCACCGACCTCAGTGTATGAGCTGAGTGCGTTAGCAATCGAGCTTTGGGACACCTAGGAGATTCCTTCTAGCCTTTGCTTCTTGAGAAAAAAAAAAACTGTCAAGAGTTTTTTTTGTTTCTGTCGCTTTCTTCTGAGGCTCCTAAAATAAGACAAAACCTTGTCTTTTAAAACACAGGAAGTGAATTCAGTGTTTTCAGTATCTGGGTGCTTTCTTATGATTCTGTTCATACTTTCCTAATGAGTAAAGGACTTGTGAATTTCTGCAGCTGTTGTCCTATGATCATCCATCTCCCCTAATTCTTGGCACTCCTTTGCTGTCAACTCCTGTCTGTGGTCCTGAATTAATTCCTCTGCATCGTTTCCATGAACCTCCAGCCTTGTTACATCACTTAAAATGATAACAGTCTTTCCATCTCTGATAATGTCTCTGTGTGAGGCACTGACCTCACATACTCAGTGTCTATGGTTCAATCCCTGGCCAGGTAGAAATGTTGGGCATGTTTCCTTACACCTGCTGTCACTGTTCACCTAGCAGTAAGTAGGTACCTGGGTGTTAGTCGGCTGATGTGTCCTGGGGGGACAAAATTGAAGGACCTCAGTGGAAATAAGACAGACAGTCCTCGATGACACACTGACTTTCTTGGGTTATCCTGGGTGGCTAACCCTCTGGTTTAAAAATCCTAACAAATCTCATCTTATCTTATCTTAAAAGTTATACCCACATACAAATGAACTAATTCAAACTCCTCCATCATGTTGTTTCACAATTTCTTGCTTGATTGTCAGAGAAATTTCCTGTTACTGCACACTTTAGGGGCCAAGATGACTTGGTAGCACAAAAGGTGGCATAATTAAATCATAAATGCAGGTATGAAGGGCAAATAATCCAGAGTTGATGTGGGCAACACACCTGGTAGCTTTAAACTGAAAAGGAAGCAATAAAATCTCTATGACATTCCCCGTGTCCGGCGAAATCTCTTTAAAAATTCAGTGTACATAAAAGGGCCCAGAATCTGGAACTCTCTGCTAGATATCTCAAGAACCACTGAATCAGCCAGCATTTTCAAAACTACCATTAAAAAGCACCTTATATCCCTAACATAGCCCAGCATCAACTAAATATGTTAAAACTATAAATGAATATTTTTAATGTCATGAACATATGTACAACATTATACACAATATACAGTGGACCCCCGATTAACAATATTTTTTCATTCCAGAAGTATGTTCAGGTGCCAGTACTGACCGAATTTGTTCCCATAAGGAATATTGTGAAGTAGATTAGTCCATTTCAGACCCCCAAACATACACGTACAAATGCACTTATGTAAATACACTTACATAATTGGTCACATTAGGAGGTGATCGTTAAGCGGGGGTCCACTGTATACTTACTCTCACTATCTGTAACCTCCCTTATGTCGCCAGAATTCCTGAGTCTCGAGAGGCAGGAGAAAATACTTCAATATAATGCTAATATCAACTCTACGATTTATTTATCTATCAGAATTGATCTAATATGACATAATAAACACTATAGTAACATAGAAACATGATATATACCCTAGATTGAATAAAATATGCCATAATACAGCCTGGTGGCCTGGTGGTTAACGCTCTCGCTTCACACGGCGAGGGCCTGGGTTCGATTCCCAGCCAGAGTAGAAACATTGGACGTGTTTCTTTCCACCTGTTGTCTATGTTCCCCATCAGTAAAATGGGTACCTGGGTGTTAGTCGACTGGTGTGGGTCGCATCCTGGGACACTGACCTAATTTGCCCGAAATGCCTCTGGAGCATAACAAGGGACTTTCTATATAGTAGTACAGTATGTCATTGTAATCAGCTAGGACTGTATACCCTGTACATGTACTTGTAGTAAAATAAAGATATTATTATTATTATTATAAGTGTCCAGGACCAGTCCGAGCATATAAAATCATTGCTGTTCCTTCCTATAATGTGTTCTTTGGTCCTGGGTAAGAGAAAACAGAGTTTTTGAGAGGCTAACTGCACTAGAGGCCAGCCCGCGTTCCTGGTGAATATCTCGGAAGTAATTTATTAACTTATTTCATGAAGCCCACCATTTATTAATGAAGTACATGTAAATACAGTAATAATGATAAGAATCATAAAAAAATGATTGTTCTACAATTGGCTTGTGGAATATTGGAAATATTACAAATATTTTGGGATCTGTGTGGGAGCAAAGGGCAGGATATTTTGCAAATGTCAAAAACTTAGCAACTTTTTATTTTTTGTAGAATATCTGAAGCTCGCTCATACTTGGATTTTGGCTCGCAGCTCAAAACAGAAAATCAACTGAGTGACGGCTCATAACTCGGAAAACTCGTAAGTTAAGGCACTCGTAAGTCAAGGTACCACTGTATACCCATTCTTCATTTATTCAGCCTTCCTACGATAAATATATTCACTTCTCACTATAAGCTAAGGACGAAAATATTTTAAGGTAAGTAATGTATGTAATGTATGTGCATTTTTTTGGCTTATCTCTATTTCTCACTTAATACATAGTGTAAACATGTTATCAGGCTTTTATATGCATTTGAAAGTGAAAAAAAGGTTATGTTTCACTTCACAGCAATTTTCTCTTTACAACAGTAGCTCGGAACCTAAGCTACTATATAAGCGTGGGCCCTCACGTATTTAAAGATGAAGAGATGACCAACAAATACAGATCGAGGGAGCATAACACTGTACGTGGTGCTAAGTGGATACAAACTGCAGCTTATTTTGACTCTGATAGGTCAGCATCGCTTAAGAATTTTGATAAATCATGTTCATTAGCTATGTAGTATCTCTTGCATGTGGTTGATTTCCTTGCAGCAGTTTTACCATCTTTTGCAAAGAACTGGTGGATTTTCCTCTGAAGATGGAGTTTTCTTAGTCTATAGAGAAGGTTTACATAAAATTAGTGATATGTTAGTACGTACTGTAGTTAATTTTCCAACTTTCAGGAGTCTCTCTTGCAGTGTGTGCACCATGGCTGCACTCCCTCATGTGTGCACCTAAGCTGCACTCCCTCTTGTGTGCACCTAGGCTGCACTCCCTCTTGTGTGCACCAAGGCTGCACTCCCTTGTGTGTGCACCAAGACTGCACTCCCTCTTGTGTGCACCTAGGCTGCACTCCCTCTTGTGTGCACCAAGGCTGCACTCCCTTGTGTGTGCACCTAGGCTGCACTCCCTCTTGTGTGCACCTAGGCTGCACTCCCTCTTGTGTGCACCAAGGCTGCACTCCCTCGTGTGTGCACCAAGGCCGCACTCCCTTGTGTGTGCACCAAGGCCGCACTCCCTCGTGTGTGCACCAAGGCCGCACTCCCTCGTGTGTGCACCAAGGCTGCACTCCCTCGTGTGTGCACCAAGGCTGCACTCCCTCGTGTGTGCACCAAGGCTGCACTCCCTCGTGTGTGCACCAAGGCTGCAGTCTCTCTTGTGTTCCATATTTTACAAGCCTTGTCTTATTTGATTTTGTTATTTTCAGCAGTCAAGTGAGACAATGGGAAGCCGCCCGCCGCCACCGCTTCAATACTATTTTAGAGAAGCTGCGACTAGCACTACCAGACTGCGGACCCAGAGCAAAAGCAGAGATCATCCAGACTGCCATTGATTATATCCAAGACTGTAAAGCACTGAAAGAGAGCGTATTAGCTGGTAATGAATCACAAGAGCTGAGTAAGTATACTCTGGATTTAGAGTTTAAACTGAAACTCTTTATTTCCACATGATACACTGTACAAATATGGATCACATTTAATATTGCACATGGAAAGCCATTGGTTATGCAGAGCATTTTGGGCAGGCTTAAACCTAGGTTAAGACTAAAAGGACAATAAATGTTTTACAGGACTTGAGCCCTGGAGCTGGGAAGTACAGTGCCTATGCTCTAAAGGAGGGGTGGGGATATTTGCTGTTTGGAGGGATATCTGAACTGTCATATCTACATGCCTCTGGCAAGACAGTGATAGTGTGATTGATGGTGAAAATGTTTCTTTTTTGGTTCACCCTGCCTTGGTGGGAAATGGCCAGTTTGTTAAAAAAAAAAATCAAGATATATAGCCTCTCCTCACTTAGCGACGTACTCGTTTACCAACCACTCAGACTTATGACCAGCTCTCCAACCAGTATGCAAACCTAAATACTAATGTATATTAGAGCTGATTTCCTCTGTTCTGTTTATTACAGTATACAGTTAACTACTGTATAAACTTTTAAAAACATACTAGAAATGTTTTAAATGGTGCAATGGTGACATTAAAAAAATATCTAAAGATGGTTGACACAAACCCACTACCAGTATAGTATGCTCCTTGCTTAACGACTAATTCACTTACCAACCTGCTCATAGGAACGGAACCCCGTCATTAAGTGAGGAAATTCAAATGACTGTGACAACACATGTATTTTTTTCAACACACCAGCCATCTCCCACTGAGGTAGGGTGACCCAAAAGAAGAAACACTTTCACTATCACTCACTTTTATTACTGCCTTGCCCTTCCAAACTAAATTCCTTTATGAAGGTAAATCGTAACTCAAAATTATTGTAAATCAAGACCATTGTAACTCAGAAGACTACTGTACTGGAGTTTTGCACTTTATAAAATCTAGTGTACATTGTTAACTGCAGCTTTTAATGTATATGCTTGAGCATGGGAGATGGTGAATAAGAAGCAAACACATTACACACCGGCAATATTAGGATCATATAAATTAAGAGTTAATATGAGTATTTTAACCAACTACAGTGCGATAAATATTTTGGTAATAATCAGTATTATTTTTCTAGGATTGCCTGAAAGCAAGTATTTAACCTTACTGACAAGAAACTGTAAATGCTGGTGAAATTTGGCTTGTTGAACCCTTGTGCTGTCTGTCACGTAGACCTTTATCATTGAGGCCAGGGTCCCTAATGTAGTTCTATGTCATGACCTCATCTCACTCAGATAAGCTGTGAGTGGTAAATTTTGGCCTAGATATGAGAGAATGGGTCTGTGCAGTGAGTGTGCACAGTATAAAAAAAAATCCTGCCTCATGTGGTGCATGACTGGAAAAAGAAAACTGTGACCACGTGTGTGGTTTAAAATAGAGAATTTGAGGCGTTTTCTTGGATGATTTTTATGATTTTATTGGCAGTTTCTTGGTATCATTTGATAGAATGGAGGACATACTACTGAAGTAGAAATAATTTTCATTGGTTTCAAGACTGGAAGTACAGTGGAACACCGGATTTCATCCCCACTGGATATCGTATGATTCAGATTTCAACCACTTTTTTTTTGGCGAAATTTTGCTCCGGATTCCGCACCTAGTCCCGGAAATCATCTGTATTCGACGCATCGGTCCACCCAGGATGCTGCCACTCATGCTTACGTGTCTCAGTCTGGCTCTGTCACTGGTTGAGTGAGGATTCACCTGAAACATTTTGTAATAATCCATTGTTTTTTGTACTTGTTTATTGAGTGCGACTGCGAAATAAGCCACTATGGGCCCAAAGAAAGTTCTAGTGCCAGCCTTTTGGTAAAGAAGGTGAGAAACACAATAGAATTCAAGAAAGAGGTTATAGAAAAATACCAAAGTGGCGTACGTGTGGCAGAGCTCACCAGGATGTATGGCAAGTCCAAAAAAACAATTAGTTCCATCCTGGCAGAGAAAGTAGAAATCAAGTGAGTTGATGTTGCAGAAGGGGTGATTAAGGACATTTGTGCAAAGTGGAATGAGGTGCAAACTTTTGTGGAAAAATATCACCTCTTAAAGAGATGTCAGAAACATAGCTCTCTGGACAGATCTTTAGTGTGACAGGGGACCAGTGCCAATAAAAGACAAAGAAGGGAAGTAACCCCGGATAGGGCTTTGATACCTGAACTCCTTATGGAGGAGGATTCCCCTTCCAAACAATAACCTCTGCTCCTCCTCCCTCTCCCCTCCTCACCATCCTTACCCCAAGAAGAGTTTTCAATAAAGGTAAATGTGATGTTAATTTTTCATTTATCCATTTCATTAGTCATTTATATTTCTTTCTCATTGTTTTCTGTATATAAAACTATGGTTATTCTTTAAAAAATGCATTTTTTGTTAATATTTTTGGGTGTCTGGAACAGATTAATTGTATTTACATTATTTCTTATGGGAAATATTGCTTCGGTTTTCATCTCTTTCAGATTTAGACCGACCTTCTGTAGCTTGAAATTGAGCTCCAATTAGTGGAAATATTCAATTTTCCCAATCCTCTTACAACACCCAGTTTTATGGGTCTGATTCAATTATTGGGACACTGTTAACCCTTTCAGGGTCCGTCCCGTAGATCTACGGCTTTACCTTCAGGGTCCAAACCGTAGATCTACGCCATGAGCTCAGCTCACTCTGATAAACTGTGAGTGGTACATTTGGGCCTAGATATGAGAGAATACATCTATGTGGTATGTGTGCACCACATAAAACAGATCCTGCAGCACACTGTGTATAATGAGAGAAAAAAAATGAAATCATGATTTTTCGATTAAAACAGCAACTTTGCAGTGTTTTTTCGTATGTTTTTTATAGTTGTATTTGCGATTTCTTGGTCTCATTTGATAGAATGGAAGACATATTACAGAAATAGAGATGATTTTGATTGGTTTTAGCATTGGAAATGGCTTGAAACTGAGCTCAAAGTAGCGGAAATGTTAAATTTTTGCCGATATTCAAAAGTAAACAAACGACCTCACACATCTAATACACGTCAGCTGGTGGGTCTAATATACATTCACAAATATGGTGATGATATTTATACAATTATTACAGTATTGCATAAGAGTAGATCTTCTATTTTTTGGTGTGAATAAAAATTCATTATGTGAATAAAAAATCAAAATGGAATTTATTTGTAAAGCCTCAAAACATAACTAATGAACAGAGGAAATGTTAGTTTAGTGCCAGGAATGCCTACATTGTTCATTCTGGACCCTATTTTGAAATTGGAATATTTTGAACTTTGTGTTAAATTGGCCAAATTAACAATTTCCGATCACTTTATTTTGTAGTTGAAACAGTTGACTTGGCGATTTCTTGTGCTCAATCGATAGAATAGAAGTAATACTAGTGAAATAGCTAAGAATTTGGTTGATTGGAATAATGTAATTGGCCTAAAATAGGAGTCAAAGTCGGCAAAATCGCCGATTCGTAAATATCGCTGACACATCAAAATTCACGAGAGCATAATTTCGTCAATTTTCCACCAAATTTCGTACTTTTTGTTTTATTACCTTCACAAAAAGATTCTCTACGATTTCATAAGAAAAAATAACAAATTTTTTTTTTGAAAATTCTTGGACACTGGTGCGTGACTCCAGATTTGGGCCTTGGACCCTGAAAGGGTTAACCATGACTAATCATCCCTGGTTATATTTAATTATCCAAGAAAAAGAGTAAATCTTCTATTTTTATGTAAATAAGTATTCAGAAGGGACAGTATGTAAAATATAGTAGAGGCCTTGGGACGTGACTAATGAAGAGAAGAATTGTTGTTTTATTTCCAGGAATTTCTACATTGTTTATGGACTCTATTTTTAAATTGGCATTGTTTGAATTTTGTGTAAAATTGGCCAAATTACTGACTTCTGTGCACTTTATAGGGTAGTTGAAATAGTTGAATGGGCAGTTTCTTGTGCCCAGAAGGGAAGGTATAATAGCTAAGAATTTTGTAGAACGGAACAATAGAATTGGCTCAAAATAGGACTCAAAGTGAGCAAAATTGCCACTGTGTAAATTGCGCTGAGACCGCTGACTTTGCATCTGTAATTCCATAAGTTTTCCATCAAGTTTTGTACTTTTGGTGTCATTACATAAACCCCTTCTCCACCTACATGCTGCACTTTTACGTATCAAGATTGATGGACTGAATACATCAACGCTAGGCTGAGGAACTAATTACCTCAAACTCCTTCTAATCTTCCATTGTTCATCTATGTACGTATTAGACTGAAGACGCCACTAGCTGGTTAAACATTTCCACAATAAAGATACCCAAGTGTTGCACAAATATCTCATTTATCAACTTGTTATGAGTTGCCATGATAGTTTTTTTTTAATTTGTTATGGGGCACTTCGGGTGCAGGTTGTGGTGCACTTCTTGTAGCACTGCTAAAGTTTTATCGTGCTTGAAATGTTCTGCATAACCAGGGGCTTTCCATGTACAGCATTAAATGCCATGCAATTCTGCAAAAACTATGTATCCTGTGAAAATTAAATATCATCATCATACTGTATGACTGTATGGGTTTTGCACTTTCCCATGAATATACTGTATGAATAATATACAGTAGGGCCCTGCTTTTTGGCATTTTGCCTTACGGCGATCTCAAATTATGACCAAGACTTTTTATACGGCAAACGGTCTTTCAAATATGGAGAGTGCCAAACAGTTTGTTTACATTCTCCATGAGCAAATATCTTTATTAAGTAATAATAATCACTCTTGGGCACATTAAATGTCTAATTTTACGTCAGTGTAGACATTTTCATTAATTCATCTACAATATTTTCTTCAAAATTATATAAGAAACACGTTACATAGTATATAAACATAAAATATTTATATGCTATGGAGGTGTGGTAGCCAGGCGGAGGGAAAACATTACATGACTCCCCTTAACCCTTAAACAGTCCAAACGTATATATACATTCACTTGTGCAGCG